CATTAGTTAAACGCCTCAAAAACAAAAACTAGCCATTTTATTTTAAAAACATTTTGAAAAACATTGCAAAACACTTTTAAAAAAATGTGAAATTGAAATTAAATCTAAATTCATATTTGCAATTCTTTTAAAAATGAACATCGTGTAATTTTATTTGTGGCTTGACTTTCATTATAAAAAGGTCTCTAACGGAGTCGTCAAGCTATCGAAACAATTTTTGGGTGGTTCGAAAATAGTCATGGCAAAGATAAATGTTTTTGAAAACGAGAGTCACCATCGATTGTTTTAGGCTAAGTACGATTGACTACTTGTGGGGAAGGTTAGAGGATCCCCAAAATGCCCAAAAAAATAGTACCTTTTGAAAATACACAATGTTCATTTTTACAAGAATTACGAATACGGATTTATCTTATTTTTAACCTCACATATGATTGCAATTTTTAAAGAAAGATGGTGGATCTCGTTTGGAAGCAACAATTTATATTTGCACCTATTAAAAAAGGAGACCCACATCATTTAAAAAGGATGTCACCATGTTACATACAAGTAAAAAGACCGTAATCCAACTACTTAAAACACTACCCCTTTTAGCTGACATAACAAACCCACATTGTCTTAATTTTAAAAAGACGAAAGCAATTTTCATAAAATATATATTTTAAAAAGATTAAGTACTTCTTCAAGTCTGGAAATTCATCGTTGAACGTTCGTTTATCCGAGATTTGAAGGTTTGCTTGCCTTCTTGATGCTTTGACATTCTACTTCTCTTGATTGATAGAACTCTCTCTTATCTTTTCGCAACTTTCTCTTCTAAAAAATTTGTGCTTTTTACTATTTGTTTTCTAGAAGTCTCCCTTTTACAAAATGTGAAGATATGTTTAAATATGGATGTATGAGAGAAAATTTTGATATTGAGAGTTTGGATTTTACGAGACTTTTAAGAAGTTGAATTTTAGTGGGATATGAGATTTAATGGGATAAGACACTTGTTTCTTAAAAAAAATGTGGTAGAGGCATAGTCCTCCTAAGAGATAAACTATGTTAGGTTTTTTATTTTTATTTTTTGGAAAAAAGATGGACTAAGGTTTTCCTTTGGGTTTTGGGTTATGTAATAGACTTGGGTCTAAGAATTAAACCCGGACAAAATTTGTATTTACACTTATGATGGAGGGATCTAATAGGTACTTTCACTAGTTTAATTTTATTATGAAAATGTAAATTTGTTGTTTTCCTAATCGTTAGGTTCACTAAGCCTGTAAATAAACTGAACGTTCAGCGAACCGTTCAAAGGGAAGTTTGTTTATGTTCATTTATTTATTAAACAAACGAATATAAACAAGATTTTATGTTCACTTAATTAACTGAACGAACACAAACAAAAGACTCATTCATTTATAATTGAACTATTTTCTATTTTTCCTCGTTGAACCTTCTTATAAAAATATATTTGAAATAACTGAACTTACCCAAACTAAAACCTTTTTTACAAAACAAATTTTATTATTGACCCCTCTTTTAAAAAGGATTCCTATTGATCTTGCAAAATCTCCTTTTTGAAAACATTGACTTTGTCTTAATAAAAGAATGTCGGTAAAGATTTGAAATAACTGGGACCTTTAGATTAGTAATATTTCAAACTTTTTCTTTTTAGAATTTATTCGGCGGCTACAGTAACACAAAAATCTTATTTTTTATAAAAGTTTTAAGTCCAGTAATTACGTGTAGAATTTGTATACAATTTTAATAATTTAAAAATTTTAAATTAATAATAACTAATAATCACAATGAACTATTAAAAAAATTATTCCTTTCGCTTAATCATAAAGAAATGCATTAAAGTAAAATAACTCTTTAAATCATTTAAAAAAATCCATTAATCAAAATTTAGATTAAAAAAAGCTCTTATAAGGTGGGTTAAATAAGGATTTAATGAGTTAAATTACTTTGGTAACCTAATTGCAAAAAAAAAAAAAAAAAAAAAATTTAATGTTGATTTGACCAACCCAAAGCACACCATTTTAATTGTTGAAAAATACTGATTGAATAAATGAAGAGAGGTGAAAGAAGCTAGTTTAAACACACTGGTGAGTTTAGTACAAACATGTTACAATATAAGACCACTTCTTAATTATTTTTTTCATTACTTTAACTTGGCATCAATATAGAGACAGAGCCCATCATAAGAGTGCAGCTTTCACATATTTTATATTATGTATAAACCAATGTTTTTAAAATCGGACCGGATATTGAATCGGTAAAGGTACTGGTTTACTGATTTAATCGGGTTCAATCGCGGTTAAATCGGATTTTATATAAAATAATATTTTTTTTAATTTTACATAATATTCAAAACAATATTAATATATATGTAATATTTTTTTTAAGTTTACAATATTAAAAGGTATAAAAATATCACAAGTCATAACATATATAAATAAAAAACCATAAAATCAAGTGAAACAAAATGATTTAAATCAACTACAACATAATATTTAAGGTAAAATATATTAAATAATAAATATAATTATATAACTATAATCAAAAAATAAAATTAGGGTTTAAAAAAATCATAACAAATGATGTCATTTGGTTTAATTGTTTTAAAAAAAACAATCTCACATGGCTAAGAAACATAGAAGAGTATCCCAAAAGTTTAAAGAGTAAAAATATGAGAACAAAACAATCCCTCATGGCTAAGAAACATAGAAGAGCATCCCAACTTACTTATATAAATAATAGAGGTAATTTGACATTCAAAATCATGGAGCCTTTTGGTGAGCACAAAGCGAACTATTCTTTCGCTTCAATTGAGCTCAAATTTTAGGCTTCAATTGAGCTCAAATTTTAGGTTTTAATGGAACTTCTAAATTTTTTTTTGAGTTTGAGCCTTTTCGATTTCAAGTTTTAATATTATATTTTGAGTTGATAACTTTTAGCTCGTGAGTTTTTGAGTCGAGTTGAGCTTACTTTTAAAGTTTTCGAGTTCGAGTCGAGCTCAGCAATACTCGAATTTGACTCGGCTCGTTGAACAAACGACCTCGTTTGGTTTAATTTTTTTTTAAAGAAAAAAAGTGAACCGGCGGTTTAAACCGATTTTGCCGGTTTTCAGCCGGTTCACCCCAGTTTTCAGCCGGTTCTTTACCGGTTCTGTGCTAATCCGGCTTTGGGAGTTAACCGGACCGGACAGGCCACCGGTTCACAGTTCAACCGGTCGAACCGGCCGGTCCGGTCCGGTTTTAATAACATTGGTATAAACAATCACATGATGAATAAAAATATGGGGCAATTTCACCGCATTCGATTGATTTTGACTCGATTTGATCTGATTGTGTTAGATTTTTTTTATAAAAAAAATCGGATTTGAGTTGGTTTAAACTTTTAAGGGGTGAAGTCGGGTCGGGTTGGTCTTGGATAAAGGGTGAAAAAACTCCGATCTGACACAATCCGAGGATAATAATATACTTTTTTTTTTAAAAAAAAATATTATTATTATAATTAAATTTTAGTACCTGATTTAATGAGTAGTATATTGAAGAAAATAGAGTTCCACTAAGAAAAAAAATGTAAAGTTTGATATTTACTAGATATATTCACAACTACCATGTGGGTTAAAAAGAGATATGCATGAAAATAAAATTTATTTTAAAATTGTACAAAAAATGTATAAAAATTTAAAATATATATTATTGGTTTAAAATATAATGTCATAGTTTGAGATTTTTACATTTTTCATTGTCATTGAAGATTTTGAATTTATAAAATAAAAGTAACAATACGATTCATATTTGTTTTAGTATATTTTTTAAAAATATTTTAAAATTATGATTATTCCATTATTAATAATAAGAATAAAATCATTATTTCATACAAATAAATTCATTATTAAAGTTAATTACTACTTTTGTTCATGTGTAATTACATGAAACTCTAATTATTGACATGTTTAACTAAAAAAAATATAATTATATTGTAATTCTCTATGTTATATTATAAATCGTAATTACACACATACATATATATTAAAATAATATTAATTATAAAATCAGAGAATATAATTATAAATGTAATTAAGTCAATTTTTACTCATATAACTAATTGATTTTAATTAATCAAAATTCAGCATGACCCATATTAATGTTATCACTCAAATATATTAAAATATATAATTATAATTAGTTATATCTAAATTCAATAAGACAATAAATTCTAAAATCCACCTTACGAAGTTTTTTTTTTTTTTGGAAAATATTCTAAAGGATTGGCGCCGGGAAATCGGATTAAAGATTGAAGACCCACACAAAACGAAACTCACATGAATTCTCCTTTCCTGACGTCATATGATGCCACGTTTATAATCCAACGGCTACCATTTTCCCGTTCCATTAAAATCAATTTCATTTTGACCCTCCTATTACACCATTACAACTATTATCATACAAATATTTGTAATATTATTTTATTTACAACAACAATATAATAATATTATTATTATAAATTAAATGAATTCAATAATTAATAGAGTTATTGTTATTTTTGGAGATTTAAAATTAAAACAATTTTTATAGAAATATTTAAACCTTTAATGTCATATAACTAAAATATTCTTATTTTTTTATAAAAAAACATTCTTCATCATCTCATATCAAGTATTCTCACATTTAAAAAAATATTAGGGAAGTTTGTTTTCATAATAATCTCACCTTAATAAAAAGTATTTAAGTATTATAATCTCATAGTAATAAAAGTTTTATAATTAATGCAGAATCTCCATTCTTCTTCTTCATTATTTTGATTAAAAATAAAGAAGATAACATTCAGACAGACAAATAATCATCGAAGGGAGTCTTCTTCTAATTTGGTGTTTACATTTTTCTTCTTCATAGATAAAAATAAAAGAAAAACATTTTCTTCAGAGAATTCATAGATCACACAAAGATCAAAGACAGAAAACGGACATGGTTATTTTCACGGTGTTGTTGCCTGTGTATACTGCAATTCCCCGAACGAGGCGGATTATGGTGTTGGATTCTCCCTGAAGTTGGCACTTCGATCTGCATTGAAGCACATCAACAATTGCAAGAACTGCAAAGCAAGGGTCACCTTAGTCCGGACATTTTCGCCGGAACATTTTGAGGATGGGGGGTGGAACACGGGGGAGATGTAACAGGACATGCCCTTTGAGTGAATCAGCGATAAACATGAGCGGCCTGGAATGGGGACTGAGGAGCCTGCAAATGGAAGAGATTGAAAAGGCTAGGAAGAAAGGCGGTAAGCTCGGGAAAAGGTTTGGGGTTTTAGACGTGATGAAGGCAATGATGAGACCGGATGGTCACCCTGGTGAGTTCTGGGGAAATAAATGGATGAAGGGTTATAATGACTGTGTTCGTTGGTGCTTGCCAGGTCCCATTGATGTGTGGAATGATTTTTTGATGGCAGTACTTACAAGAGAATCTTCATAGTGAAATGGCTTTTAGATCCAAAGTAGTTGGGGATCATATGCATGATATTTACATCTAAATAAATCTGATCATTTTTTATTCATTTAAATTCAATAAAGTAATTATATAGTTTTCATTGTAATTTAATAGCTGTCAAATAATGGAAACAAGCAATTCAACTCTTTTGAAACTATCAAGTGCAAACAACAGTGGAATTTCTCCTACTTGATGAAGTTTGACATTCACAGACATTCAAAATTAGAAGAGTTTTTTCCCTGCTACTCCATTGTCTCGAGACCAAATACGAAAATTGTAATGCTTACCAAGAAACTGTATCATCATGAACTATGAACCCAAAACTTATTTCACTTGCTCGTGTAGTCATACTTGAAAGGTGACATTAGGTCTGAAATTCGAATACCAACATCTGGCGCCCATATCGCCTATATATAGTCCCAAATCGAACCAGATTTCTAGTTATAATCTCCAACTAGCTGGAACTGGAAATGATAAGTGTAATAATGACAAAACTATGGCAACTTGGGTGCAAACATGGTGTGGGTAGGGCATTAATCCAGTAAATGACAATGCAAAACGTCCAAGGAACTGAAAATGATTATCAAGATGGTCCCTGTCCAAGACGATGTCAAAAAGAATCGATTAAACAAATATTTAAGGGAAAAGATGAAAAAACAACAGTCAATCATTTTTCTTAAATCATGAAATGCAAAAACATAAACCAAATATATCAAAATCTTGCAATGAAAGATAGGTTAAGATTAAATGTGCAAGACTTGATTCTCTAACCCATGAACACTTTCAAGAAGAAAGGAACTAAAATATCTAAGAGTCAAACAATCTATACATAGAAATTGTATCACTCTGTAAGTCACTCCATGCTATTCGAAATACATTTCCATTAAAAGCGTGTTAGCTGCAGTTGGGGTGAAATACGGTAAGTTGGGGATCCCAACATGTATGCAACCAAACAAGACCTATCACATGGCTCACATCAGAAGTTAAACTCAACTGTAACTTCTAATTAATACTGAACAAGATATCAAAAGCATTCAAAATCTTTTAAGAAGAGATTACCTTTGGCTTGGGTTATCTTCTTTGCTTGGCCAGATAAAAGGATTCATCATTATGGACACTGTAACTGCCAAACGACATAGTAATGACATTGACAAATGAACTACTAACATGTATGAATGGTTAAAATTTTCTAAAGGTTCAAATTCTAGCCTAAGAATGTAAAAGCATATATTAGATGAAATCTTGTCAAATCCTCAATTCATAATGTTAAACATCAAAACTGAAAACTCTTAAGCACCCTAAAGTCAATTAAGATGTCTTTTGTTTTGATTGCACATTAAAAAAACAAAGACCATTATGTAATTAAATTTTTCCGCAATATAGAATCCAAAGACCAATAAATCCAGGAAAAAGGATAGAAGTCGATAGACAAAATCATATAATGATTCTAGTACAAACAAGAACATATGCTAAGTAAAACACCGGACTGTTTAAAGATTGATTAAATAAATACTTTAGCATTCACTGGCAGCGGTAAAACCACCATTTTGTCACAATCAAATTCCAGGCTTCTCTTTATAACTTCTGAAATCCAAATTATAACGTTTGGGGGTGAATATGTATACAACCACATGTTTCAGACATTTAAACCAATATAGCACGCCAGTAAAAGCCAGATGCAGTTAAATTTTCTCCAAATCCAGTACATAATATAGTTACATCAAGGTTGAACATATACTAGTTAATGTCAGAAGTGAGACTCACATAGAAGAGATTATGCAATAGTAACAACTAAAAACTCATTACAGTGACAAGATTCCTTACAATATTCACAAGTCAAGTTATCTAAACATAGAGACATGGATATAAGATTGACGAGAAGAGCAATCCTTTTTTATCACAATTCAATGGAGAACCTTGATTATTTAATTGCTATAACATACTCTAACCAAGAAAAAACGTTTCAATTGAGCATCCATCGTTCATATTTAAATTATAAAATCTACACTAACGACATATGTAAGCAGATTCCGAAATTGCAACAAAAAAGCAAGAACTAACGTTGTCATTAACGACCTTCAGATGTCATGCCTCTACTGTATTTCCGAGTCCAAACGAGAAATGTTCACGAACAGGTGAAAACTCACCAATCCAATATCCATTGCATACCCAGAAATAGGCAACTTTAACTCTCTCAACACAAAATGCCTCCGCCATTCTTGTTTTCGGAACTTCTTGAGCTACAGCACAATAGGCCAAGCGTCAGCTTTGAACTTTTCTCCAATTTCAATCCCTCCCTTTTTAATAACTCACTAACTAAACCTAGAAATGTAGAAGGGCCCATTGTTGGAGTTGGTGCAAGAAAAAGAATATTTTTTTCATTTGGGAAAGTCCCAATGGAGGAGAAAGATAGAGGTAAAGGTTCTTACTTTGAAACAAATGATTTTACAACAGATTCAAGCCTGCAGGTCGAGAAAAGGGCTTGAGAAAAGGGTAACGTGAGGCCTGGACTCAATTTCAATTAACTGAGTGCTGATTTGCCAACGAGCCAAAACATTCCAAGCTTTCAAGACTTGGTTTTCAAGTGCTGAGTCGAAGCCCAATGGAGGAGAAGATAGAGGTAAAGTTTTTACTTTGAAACAAATGATTATACACATATTCAAGCCTGGCAGGGTCGAGAAAAGGGCTTGAGAAAGGGTAACGTGAGGCCTGGACTCAATTTCAATTAACTGAGTGCTGATTTGCCAACGAGCCAAAACATTCCAAGCTTTCAAGACTTGGTTTCAGTGCTGAGTCGAAGTAAAGCTCAATCGAAAAGCCTTGTGGACATTGAAAAACTTGGGGAAAATAAGAAACCCAAAATTTGAATGGAGATCTAAGATTACCAGAAGATGCAAATTTGAACTTTATGATCAGGAAAGGGAAAAGGATTCAAAACCCTCGAAAAAACCACGGGAAATGAAAGATACCAAGTTAGATTTGGTGCTCTGAAGGCCAATGAGGAGGAGGAATGGGCATTTTGTGGTTTTTCAATGAACCAGACAATAAGATAGAAGTATAATTTTATTTGCGTATGTAAATGAACTGAACGTTCGCGAATCGTTCGTGAATAGTAAGGCGGGTAGTTAGTTTATGTGCGTTTATTTATTAAATAAATATGAACAAGATTTTGTTCGTTTAATTAAACGAACGAATATGAACATAGGTCTCGTTCGTCATTTACGTTCGTGAACGTTCGGTTATGTTCGTTTATATTCGTTCGGTTATGTTCGTTTATGCTTGTTCATTTATGTTCACTGGAGTGAAGACGATCATGAAAGCTTTAAAACAGTTATTATAATGCAATATGAAGTTTTACAAGTCTGTTTCATCTCTTTCTCTGTTTTATTTTGCTTAATAGTTGATATGTAAAGTTATTGTGGGTATCTTCACATATAAAACTCAAGAAAACATCATACTTCTTTTTAGAAATAGATGGGAAGATAAAGGTAACAATCAGAAGTATATGAGCATCAGTAAAGAGAAAAATATAGAATTTGTCAAAAAACAAAACAAGATTTCTATGCAATTTCTGAAAAAGAGTGTAGCGGACATAATGGTTTTCCAGGAAGAACCCATAGAAAATATACTTTGACAATGAACTTTTGTTTTCATAGTTCTTGTGTGACCTTTAGTTGTGGAGTAGACTTTAGGTACATTAAAATTTTGAATGTTGGTTTAGCATAATATCAGTTAGATATGTAGTATCAAGGGATTTCGGATCTATGTTATTGCCTTGTAGTCCAATTTTACTATTCGAAATCTTCATGCTGTTAAATTTCTACTCTGCCAATAGAAATGATCATTATTAACAAATCTCACTAAAGTCTGACATTGATGTCACAAAACTTTTAGCCGGCGAATTATTAGAATAACGTAGTGGAAAATGATTGTTCATATGTAATCATGACCACTAAATAAATGTTATAGCATTAATTAAAGTCGTGTGAATCATTTAATATCTTTAAAAGATCAATCAAAATATCTGATATCTTCAAACATTTCATCACTGGTAATCAACTCTTACGCTATTTATCACTATAGATTTGGTTGATTTGCATTGTCGACTATTTTTCATGAAAGAACAATGGAAGGTAGGGTCTCCAACGTTTATGTTCGTGTTCATTTATATTCGTTTATTTATTAAATGAACGAACATGAACAAGCTATATTCCTAATGAACGAACATGAACAAAAAAAAATTTGTTCGTTTATGTTCGTGTTCGTTTATGTTCGTTTATTTATTAAAAGAACGAACATGAACATACCTCCGTTCGTGTGCGTTCGATTCGTTTACAGGCCTAGCAATTTCAAAGCTAACATTTAGGGTAAACTATACCACTAACTACCTAACTATTATTTATTTATATTTTGACCACTAATTTTTGAATTTTTGTCAATTAGGTTACTCAATTATTTAAATGCATTCAATCAAATTACATGCCATTAACATTTGACGAAATGCTGACTTGGAAATTACTAAAATTGGTATAATTACATTTAATCCTAAATACTTATATATTCTATTAATTCAGTTATGATTTTAAATTAATAAATTTAATCTCTAACAGGATAGTGTTGAACCATGTTTTATAATGTTTTGATATAACAAATTAAGAAAAAATGTTTTTGGACTTTAATTGAATTTGTTCAAAGTTTTCAAAAGTTTTCAAAAATAATTTAATGTCCACTAAAATAGAATTTTAGCACAAAACTAATTTTCTAGGTACGTTGTACCGATACTATTCTTACGGTATCGATATTGCATGAACAATACCGATATTGTTCACGTGGTACCGATGCCAAAGGTGATAGAGGTATCGATACTCTCAAGGTAGTATCGATACTACCAGCTTGCTCAAATTCCAGAATGCAAAATAGGTACTGATACCCAAAGGGGTATTAATACTACGTTACATAGTAGTATCGATACCATGAGTATAGTATCGACACCGTCAAGCCCAACGGCTAG